CTTCTCAAAGAAAATGACACCTGCTGAGTGCAATTACGAGATCTATGACAAGGAGCTACTGGCCATCATTAGATGCTTCGAAGCATGGAGACCAGAAGTTGAGGGCACAGCAATGCCAATACAAGTTTTGTCAGATCACAAGAGTCTTGAATATTTCATGAGCACAAAAAAGCTTACTAGGCAGCAAGCTCGATGGGCAGAATTCCTCTCTCGATACAATTTCCAAATTATATATCGACCTGGCAAGCAGAACGGAAAAGCAGATGTGTTAACTCGAAGACCAGGGGATAGACCAGAAGGGAATGAAGAAGATGACCGTCAAAAACAACAGCTTCAAACTCTATTACCTCTTAAGAGACTCCATCCGGATCTCGCACAGCAGCTAGAACTCAAAAGTCAAGGGCAGGCACAAGATGCTCAACTTGCACCAATCCTACCACAAGATCAAAGCATCCATGACCAGATTCAAGCTGCGCAGCTCCAGGATAAATTATGCAAGGATACAATCCAAAGACTACAGAACAACGAGCGAGATAGCTCAAGTATAGCCTTAGCACATTGCGAAGAGAGAAATGGACTCTTACTCTACCAAAATTGAGTTTGGATCCCAGAGGACATCCAAGTTAAACTCCTACAAGAAGTTCATGACCAGCCAGCAATGGGGCACCCTGGAATTGGAAAAATGGTTAGCATCATTAAGAGACAGTACTACTGGCCTCGTATGGACAAGACTATCACTCAATATGTAAAGAATTGCCATATCTGCAAGAGATCAAAACCAACCTGGGATGCATACAATGGACTCCTACAACCAATCCCAATTGGAAGCCAACCATGGAAGAACATATCACCCGATTTTATTACAGGATTACCATTATGTGAAGAAAACAATTCTATCCTTGTAGTAGCATGCTGACTTACAAAAGAGCGCCATTTTATCCCATGCTTTGCAGGTAAAGAAGGCACTACAGCAGAAGCTACAGCGAGGTTACTACTCCAGCATGTATGGAAACACCATGGTTTACCAAATTCCATCATCTCAGACAGAGGGCCCCAGTTTGTAGCTGTAGTGTGGAAAATCCTCTGCAAAGTTTGGAAAGTTACAATCAAATTGTCTACAGCCTTCCACCCAGAAATGGGCAAACTGAGAGGTTTAATGCAGAACTCGAGCGATATTTACGGGCTCATGTCAACTATCTCCAAGACAACTGGGTTGAATATCTTTGCATTGCTGAATTTACAGCAAATGCCCTTCCATCAGACTCAACAAAAGTTAGCCCATTTTTTGCAAACAAGGGTTTCGAGCCAAGAATGAGCTTTGATATAGAGGATAGCACGTTCCAAACTGCCCTTCAAGAACATAAGGACATAGCTCAAAACATGAAAGATATTTGGGAATTCCTACAAGACCAGATCGTCCTCTCACAAACCCGAATGGAGCACTTTGCAAATCAAAACAGGAAGCCAGCACCAAGATATAAGATAGGAGACTGAGTCTGGCTTTCTACTCAGAATATCAAAACCCAACGACCCTCAAAGAAACTTGACCATAAGCAAGTTGGTCCATTTCAAATCCTTGAGCGAATTGGGAATGTTGCATACCGACTCCAGCTACCACCAAGCATGAAGATACACCCTGTGTTAATGAACAATAGCTCCAAAAGCTTCTACAGCCCTCTATGATTCATTACATGTCATCGCTCCTTAGTTACCCACAAGATTGGTTAAGTTATGACATAATTTGTCTATAGGGGTACTCTGACCTTGGACCTCCTTTCACTTCCTATAGGCTAGGAACCTAGGAGATGGTTCTATGGGATTCTCTTATGTCGACTACAGTTACCATGCCTGGTTAGTCATGGTAACTGTAGTCGACATAAGAGAATAGAAAGTCTTGAAAAATGAGAGAACTACACTCCTTTAGCATAAATAGGATTGCCATTTCCTTAAGAAAGGGCAAGCAGACAATACAGTAAATCGACTATCACATACTTCCACGTCTTTTCCAAGCCAAGCATTGATCTTATTACTCCTTGTTTCTGAAAAGTCAGTGAGGTGCTAACCTCTGACTTATCCCTGAGTTCTCAGACTCAACATTTGTTACAACTTGTCTAAACCACTCCACTACATCATACACTTGATTGCTGCATTGTGGAATAGTCTAAGCTACAACCCTTTGGCTCTGTTTCCTAAGACAGTGTGTTGTCTTAGTAAAATCATCCCTCCCTTGGGTGGCTAGATTCTCACATCTGGTGCACCCACCATTACAGGCTAGACTGTAGCATGACTAGGCTAGTGGATAGTTGCAGGAACTAGTGGATATTAGATACCTATCTAATATCCACTAGTTCCTGCAACTATCTTAACTAGGTAGTTAAGCTATCTATCAACTATCTAGACTATCTATAAGGCATGACGCCACTATATAAGTAGATAGTATTCCCTTAGATAGGAGCTTCGTGCTCAACTTAATATAGTATTCTTTACAATACTATAATGTGTTACTTAGAAAGCTACATAAGAGTGTGATCTCGATCTTAATCACTTAGCTAACAAGAGGCGCAGCAGCTACAGAATGAGAGGGATGTTGTACAGTAGGTAGAGCAGGAAATAAAGGCAAGTAGTAGTCGGAAGCCAATGGAAGAAACGTGTGCATGTCGCTGTGGCAAGTGTGGTGGGACTAAGCACAATACGCGGACGTGTCAGATTGTAGCAGAGACCTCTTCGGAAGAGGATTCCGAAGAGCTTTAATTGATTTTCATCGTTGTCATAGAATTATGTACTGTTGTGTTGGCAGAGTATGATAAAGTGCCTCGCTCGCTTGGATGCGTCGCTCGCTATACTGTACGTTATACTATTCAAAGTATATGTCTTATAAAGTGAATAGTACCAATATCAAGCCGTCTTCATAGCATATACCTAAAATACGGATTCTCCACATCCGTCAAATCCTTAAAAGCCAACTTATCCCCCTCCACCACATCCAGCTCCATCGCCTCCCTCCTCCTATTATCCCTCCCCAGCACAAAATACAGCACCACACTACTCACAATCGTAATACAGTAGCATATAATCAGCCCCAACCACAGCATCGGATAGTGCCTGCTCTTCGTCTGACTCTTAATCAGCAGCGGCCCCACGATATTGCCCACGCAGTACGCCACAAAGATCGTCGCAGCCATGAAACTCTTCTTCGTATGCCCCGCCACATTCGACATCCCTATCGCAATCACGAGGCTCACCACCGCCCCAAACGACCCCATGATGCTGTACCCCGCCACCGGCGCCACTGCATGGAGCGACCACTCCGACTGCCAAATCATTGCGCAGCCGGCGATGACAGGGAGACAGCAGAGCACAAGCAGGATGATGCGGATATTCGGGTAGCGAGCCGACAGCCAGCCCATCAACAGGATGAGAACGAAACACAGCGCGCCGAGCGGGAATTGGAAGAGCATAGACTGGAGCGCCGTATAGCCGAAGGTGCTGACGATCAGTGGCCCGAAGCCGGAGACTGCGCCGTTGACGGTGTATGCGCTAGCCATCATGAGGAAGATGAGGTAGGTCTTTCGATCGAGAAGGGCCTCGCGGACTTGTCCTGCCTTGAACTTCTCGCAGCGTAGTCCGGTCTGTCCGCGTCGTAGCCGCTCGGTTGCTACGACTTTCTCCTCGGGGGTGAGGAACCAGGCTGTCGCGGGGCTGCTGGGGACGAAGAAACACCAGATGCCGAAGAGGATGGTGAGGCAGCCGGCGAGGAGGTAGATGTACTGCCATCTCTTCAGCGCGCCGCCCGTGATCTGACCAAAGCCGTAGTTGACTGCGCCGCCAAGGATGGTGAAGAGGCCGGTGCTGGAGAACCACCACGATTGCCGCAGCGTCTGTTCTTGCTGCGTGTAGTACCCGGCGACGATGGTCATGAAGGCGGTGGGGATGACGGACTCGACGAAGCCGAGGAAGAAGCGCTGGACGAAGAGGCCTTTGAAGGAGGTCACGGCTGCGGTGAGCATGCAGATTAGGGCCCAGAGGATGACGACGGGACCGAGGACCCTGCTGAGGGAGAAGCGCTGGAGTGCAAAGGTCATGGGGTAGAGGCCGGCGAGCATGCCGAAGTAGAAGATGGAGGTTGCCCAGCTGAGGCGGGTGGCATCGGTGGTTGGCGGGGTAGTTGTCTTGTTGACTACCGCAAGAGACAGGTCAGTGGTCATGCCGAAGAGGACGGCAGAGCCTAGGATTGACTGCGAGAATGTTAGTCACAGTGACAGAATGGATGAGGATAGTAGCTACTTTGTCATAATAGACCATCCCGTATCCCACAATCATCGCGGGAATCAAGAAGAAATCAATCTTGCGAACTACTCGCGCTTCAGCTAACGGATCGATAGGCTGGGCATGCAACCCCACGATCGCGAGTGCAACGTCGTCCCCATCAGAAAGATCAGGCGCATCAGTCGCATAGTTCGACGTCGTCGTCGCATCCATCGCAGGAACCCCCTTCTCGTTAGCTTCAGTTGCATTCTCCGCCATCTTACAATTATCCTTCCGTAGAAGTTTTCCAAATAACTGAGTCAATCACAATGAAAACTCCAAAGAGGCACCCAGCTCAAAGATATAAAGTTCGCACCGCCAAGCTGCAGTGCATACTCGCATTATATTTTTTGCTCACCCAATCGCCGATCACGGCCTTCTTCGCCGCCCGTCCTGCGAGATCTTCATTCGTCAATCATCGCCTTAGTACAGCTTTAACCACTCCATCTCGCACGAGGCGTTCCAATTTAGCTACTACGGGTATGGCATATTTTGCTTCCTCAACGATGATTTGGTGGGCTGAGTGGTTGAGGTTTGGAGCATGGGCAGCTCCCCACTTCACTAGCGTGGGGTTATTGTGGACTGGACTGGGCACCGCCGACAGTATGCGGCAAGAAGCGCGACGAGCACATATGTAATGAAAATCTCAAATGTTGAACGGGCGGCTATATGAAAATATATGTGATTACCACAAACGCATGGCCGCCTAAGGCGTTTGTTGCTTATATTTAGTTATATCATGATATCTATCTCATATACTCATGCGTGCAGTGCAAGCACAGGCGTAAAACTTTAAAAAATCTAAAATGCAAATGCTCATGACCCTTTTGCCTCCATCCGTATCCAAATGCCGCAAAGCAAAACTCTCACAACTTGCCCGCGAGCGTATTCCACAGAGTGTTGCATGGAAGTGGCTCACTCGGTTGTTTCAAGCCCGCGAGAGTGGCCAGGCTGTGAATCACATCAGCCGGCTCGGGGAGATGCCAATGCGCCAGCGTCATCCGGCTGCTTGACCCGACCGTAACTGTGAACATGGTCTCCTCGGGAACCCCGCTGGCATTAAGTGCTCTGAACATATCCTCATCTGTGAAGTCATCGCCCAGGCTGATCAAAAATTCTGGGGCCTCCCCGCCTGTAGGCACCCCGTCCTTAGTGGTGTGGTTGGAGATAAGGCGCTTCACGATCTCGCCCTTGTTGATGAATGTTGGTCGGACTTCAAGATTCATTTTGCCAGTCATGACTTCAACGTCCCATTTCTTGGCTACAGTCTGTTCAAGTTCGGTCTGACATTCGCGTGCCATGTATGCGGCGAGTTCTTGGTCTGCCCGGCGGTAATGCCATGTTAGAGCGCAGCGCTTGCGCTCAATAAAGGAGCCTGTGAACGATTAGCGTCTGTAAAGTAACTGAATGGACCGACTTTCTTACCTTGTGTCCTTTCAGTATATTTCTGGAAAACATCAATGACTTCCTTCTGCCATCCCATATCCGTCGTCTCAGCCAAGTTCTCCCAGGTGTCGCTTCCCGGAGGACGCATGAAGCTGCCATGTTCAGCGCTGAAACCGACTCCAGGGATATCACCAAGGTGCTCAGTTAAGAACTCTTGGTCTCTGCCACTAATAATCCAGATCTCGTTCCGGGTATCAGCAGCTAAGGTGTGGAGGGTTGTGATCAGAAGCTCGCTAGGCGTTGCAGCTGCGGGATCCTTGACAATGGGGGTCAGGGTGCCGTCGTAATCAATCATAAACAGTCGCTTTTTGGCCTTGGTAAACTGCGCAAGCATCTTCTCTCTGTCCAGAATGGGGGTAGTAACAGAAGTACTGTGCGACGACAAGACAGTGAGGAGTCTTTTGATGTAGCCAGTAGTCCATGCCTGGACATTATGTGTCGTGACGTGCTTGTAGAGGTCTTCGTGCGTCTCCTTCTTCTTCTCAGGTGACATCGTCAAAGCATTGTTTATAGCATCAGCGACTCCAGTCAAATCCCACGGGTTGATATGGATCGCCTCCTTCAGACTTCCCGCTGTGCCGGAGAATTCAGACAATATGACGGGGCCGTGGTTGTCCCTTTGACAGACGACATATTCCAAGCTAGTCGTGTTCATACCGTCTCGTACACTGGTAATCAGGCCGATATCTGCCGCTCTGAGAAGCGCTAGGTACTCATCTTGTGAGAGATATTGAGGGTAGTGCTGAACCGGAGAGAAGCCGAGAGACCCGTAGAGGCCATTAATCTTAGCCACAAGCTCTGAAACCTTGATCGTGACCTTGTTTTCAGAGTCTTGCCTCTCTTCCTCAATGCTAGTGGGGCTCGTAACTTGGATTAGAACGACCAGGTCGCGCCACTCAGGGTATTCCTCGAGGAACCGTTCAAAGGCCATAAGCTTCTGAGCAACACCTCGGACGCTATCCAGGCGATCTCGGCCAACGATGATCTTCTTTCCTTGGTATAGCGTGTTGAGTCCCAAGAAGTTCTTCTCAATTTCGGGTCGCCCAAATGCAAGTTTCTCGACCCCAGCTGCGTCAATGCCGATGGGGAATACTCCAACCGACACCTTAGAGCCATGTGCCTCCACGCCAGCAATATCTGACGGCAAACCAAGAACTCTGGTGCAGCAAGAAACGAAATGCCTGGAGTAGCTAAATGACTGAAACCCGAGCATATTCGCGCCGAGCATACCAAGAAGAACCTCGTTTCGACGCGGCAAGCACCGCAAGAACTCGCTACTGGGGAAAGGAATGTGTAGGAAGAATGAAATGTGCATGTGGGGAATCTTTCGGCGCAGTATAGCTGGCACCAAAAGTAGGTGGAAGTCGTGAATCATTACGATGTCTCCCGGCTTGTAGATTTCGAGGATCTTGGCGGCAAATCTCTCATTCAACCGTTGGTAGTCCTTCCACGATTTGCGTTCTGCCCTGCCATCTGAGGGAACATGTTGCTTGTAGTGGAAGAGAGGGTAGAGCTCATTCTGTGCAAAGCGGCGCCAGCGGCGCTGATCCTTCAGGAGCAAGTCCCCATCGGAAGAAGCGTCTATGTCATCATATAACCAGACTGGTACGGTCTTTCCGCGGCTGTCATGGGCAAGCTGCCACTCTAACCGGGCTCGGTCGTCCTTGCCTATCCACAACCCTTCGGTTGGGGGAGGAGTAACTGGCCTATTATCGTCTAAAGGTATGGGAGCAGATGCTTTATTCAGAGGGGGAACCCTTGTAGAGGTTGTTGTTGCCGGAGGGGTGGTGGGTGGTGATAATTCGTCAGATTGCTCAATCTCTCCCGTCCATCCAACTAAGGTGTGGTTCCAAGGTGTTTCGTTCGATGAGAGGTATGCGAATGACTCGAATAGGGCAGAAGTGCCATGGCGTTGCTTCAGATCCTGGTATAGTTAGTCTACCGCTACTGCATATGGTGATCGATTAACAACTTACCCAGTCGGAACCCTTTTGGTACTTCAGAGAATAAGGGACACAGAATGCGGCTGATATGACCGAGCCGGTAAGTTCAAGAGAGGGAAAGGCCGACCTCGGGTCGATGTCCGTCAGCGAGGCCTTTCTCTGCGGGACTTCATTCTTGAGAGCTGAGGGTTGAGGGGACGGATCAGCCAGCTGGGCCGATGGAGACGGAGTTGCTAAGCGGCTGCTATCCACAGCTGGGAAGTACGATGACCCAGGGGCTGCCGAATATGTTGCCGGGAGGATTCCTGGGGTCACTGATCCATCCTGGGCGGTGGAAGGCACAAGTCGTGGTGACTCTGTCCACTCGGAACTGCCACCGACGACTGGTGACCTTTGTGACATTATGGTATAGTGGTGTTTTCGAATTGGGTGAGAGAGGTCTCAGTCTATAGACAGGCGGGCAGTCGTCTGCTGGAGAGGTTGACAAGGCTCGCACCTTGGTGCCAGTCGTTGGGAGTGCAATATATGTATCGTTCGGCTTGCGTGAATCAGTTGCAGACGTGAATGTTCAGCGTGAATGAACTTCTGGCACGAGGAGGTTTGAAAGCGCTTCGGACTGCGCTTGGTAGGAGGTTGGAGGTCAGGTCGAGAGATCTCTGTACTCAATGGGCGGTGACGCAGCGAGTGCGGGGTTGAAGGGCGGCGTGGGTTATGTGTAGTGATGTATGTATATACGAGATTAAATGGTAAACAATGCTGATGCTGATGCTGATGCTGATGCTGATGCTGATGTTGATGTTGATGCTGATCAAGTTATTCCAAGCTGAAGGGGCTGCAAAGCAGGCGTGGTGGGATGGTGGGGCAGGATTGGGTTCGGTGTTGGGGGTGTCGGGGGTGGGGGTGGGGGGTGGTGAGGGGCAGACAGGCAGGTAACTCTCTCGTCAGCCGCCGCTTTTTTGAGGAAGCGTGAAGCAATTACGCCGAGTGGAGTGTGAGCCGGAAGTGCGTCGGCGAGGGTGAAGGAGGAGTATTCAGATAATAAAAACCTGGGAAAGGATTCAAGATTACGAAGAGTAAGTAGATTGTGAATGGGATGATTTACGGGAGAGAAGTAGGAACAGGAATAGACGTGGGGTTTAGGACAAAATTGTGGGAGGGGAAACAGCAGTACATTTTTTGTAGTGGCAGCGGGATAAGATAACGGTGTCGGCGTGCGGGATTGCTGACGATGATGAGCATACATACGTCGGCGTGTACCAGATACCTGATTGGTACTGTCTGTTACTAAGAAAAACGCGCATTCAACAAGGTACCATTTGAGTACCCCAACCATACACCCACATGCATCACGCACGATGTATTTTTCTTCCTCCAGCCAGCTGCAAGGACCTCGACGAAACACGAAAACATCTCGAATTTTATATTGCAATTATGGACTCACAAATTACCAGAGATAGCAGAGAGAGCGATACACGTGGAAATGGCGAAAAAGCCCTCTCTCCTCTCAGCCTTGGTCAAGAGGCCTGAAGATGGTGCAACTACGGCGCCGGCTGAAGGGCAAAAACGTTCTCCTCCCTCTGCATCTATGAAGGCGCGGCAATAATCTCCCCCTCGTCGCTGCCCAACGTCGGGAGTATTCGTACCGACCCACGACCCATCCCAAGACCCATCCCAAGACCCATCCCAACCAGCCTGGTCTCAGACGCATTCGGCCTTTCCTCGTCCGTTCGTCCTGGCCGCCGTCCTCACAAGCGATATAATAAGCCCGGGCCGAGTCTCACTGCCTGCTTATTGCGGACGGAGATAGAGATACCATACTCTAAGTACGGAGTATATCCTCGAGTAATGGCTGAGCTCGCCGTGCTCTCCAAGCCATGCTCTCCAAGCCATGCTGACCAAGGGCGGGCCTGCCATGTTTACGCGCCCAACACCCTGACCAACCCGCATACTATGCCCACAACAGCTGGAATAGACGCGACCATGAGATCGCATGTCCTTATTCCGGCTCCGATTCGTGCGGCTACTCGACTTCCCATTCACTGATCGTTTCTCAATGAGGTCCAGTCCCAGTCCCAGTCCCTGTCACATCGACGTCGTCTCTCACCCAATCAAGTCGCTGGCGGCTGCAACCACCCAGGCAGCCGCTGACAGGAATACATGGCAGAGGCGGCCACTGTTTCAACCTTCTGAGCTTCGAGCTGGACGGATTGGCTCTGCCGGCGTGACGCCGCGTTCGAGGTCGCCGAGGACGTGAGTGTCGCGCGTCACTCTCCCGTTTCATCCATCGAGTCGAGACCGCGACGTCGCGACTCATCTTCGAACTACAGCTGTCGTAGGATCAAGCTTGGCCGGCGATTGACGGCCTCTGATTCTCCACATGCTGCTGTCGGCTCCTACAAGTAGGGAGCCTCTTCCCCCCGGCATGCATGAGTTCTAAGTTCTTGTTTCCATCAGTCTTTCCGTTGCGTCTAGTCACGCGTTTTTCATTCTTTTCCTTCTCCGCCAGTCTCTCTTTTCATAGAGTCAGCGCCAACAGTCACTCCTATTTGTTTTTACTCATTCGAACACCTGCACTTCTCTTTAAAACTTTCCTTTTCGACGCCTATCTCTGTACAACCATGCACTTCTACAGTGTTGTTTCTGTATGTCTATTATGGTCGTCCCTCGCCGCGGCTGGCCCGCTCCCTCGGGACAGCTTTCGCAAGCTGTGAGTTCACGTATTATCACCTCGCCAGGGCCAAACTAACTATCAACAGCCAATTCCGACAAGTCGCCCCATTTAAGAATACAACAAGCACTACAGATTCTGCGGCGGCTACGATCGACGTGATTCCCGTCGCTCTCACACAGACGCCCGTCGACACTGCAACCGCAATCACCAGCTCTAGCGCTGAACTTTCTACCGCGTCGACAGCAACCACATTGTCGACATCAGGATTTGCTAACACAACTTTGATCTCTTCGTCCACTGCAGCCACCTCTGCCGGAGATGTTCCAATTATCACCTTCACCTCCCCAACAGCAACGGCTGCTGGAGATGGCGCAAACGCAGCCCAAACAGCAATAGGGGCTTCCCAAACCACCACTTCTTCGAACCTCAGCGGATCCATTGTCGCGGGAACGGGAAATTCCTCTAGAATCACGCTCGTTTCGGCCAATTCCAACACAGACGCATCCGCCGACTCCAAGCCGACAACCGGGACACAGGTGTTCCCCTTTGAGGAGTCTCTCACGGCTACGCTTGGCGCAACATCGACTACCGCAGAGGCATCATTCACCTTTTCATCCGACCTTGGGACGCCTACCACCCCATCATCGCACACCACAAACGAGCCTGTCGCTATAACCGTGTCAGGCGTGGGAGTCGCAGTACCCGTAACCCCCAGCTTCTTCACCAGTGCTACCCCCCTCCCAACCACCACGGACGCCCCCACCACCACGTCCGATACCTCCATAATCAAGGTGCCCACCATCATCAGCGGCACACCCACCGCCCTTTTCTCAACCGCCAGCGACGCCGCCAGCATCAGCGCCGAAAACCTCCGCCTAGCCCGGGAATACAACGACATCTACGCAACGCTGACGCCCGACTCGATCTGCGCCCCAGACAGCATAGCCTGCGTCGACGGCGAACGCGCCACCTGCGTCGACGGCCGTTACACCCTCACGGGATGCGGCTTCAACTCGCAGCTCTGTTACGCCATGCCACTCACACAATCCCCGGGCGTGGTCGTGAATTGTGAGGACATCGCGACTGCGGAGAGGGTTCTGGGACTGCCGAATAGCTTGAGTGTGACGATTGGTTCGGTGCGTGTTGTGGTTCCTAGCACAACAGCGAAGGTGGTACAGGCTACTACTGTGGCGGATGCTGCGGTGCAGTCTTCGAACTCTGATGGGAGTCAGGGAGGGTTGGATGAGGCGACGACGGTTTTGCACAGGACTATCGTCTCAGCTATCACCATTGCCGTGTCTGATTTCGCGCCCTCTACAGTTGTTCCGGCTGCTGATGCTGTGACGGCAGTGGCGGTTGCGAATGGGAGTGGGAGTCTCATCTCTGTTGTGCCGGTTGCTGCTGCTGCTGCGGGCGGTAGCGGGGGTAAAGAGGAGGGTCCAGTGACGGCGACGGTTACGCGGTCGGTTACGGTTACGGTCACGGAGCAGTTTACTGTTACGAGAGCCGGTGTGACGGCCACGGTGACGGTGGGTTGATTGATATATTTGATATATGGACTGGAAATATATGTTGAAGCGTTTTGGGATGGGAAAGAGGAGGGAATAATTACTTAATGGAGGTTGTTTAATCTAGGGTTATCATATTTAGGTCTGCAGTATATATATTGGTATATCATATCTCATAGCATATATCATTTCTTATCATTGAGTTCATGTGTTCTCCTTCGCGTGCCACGGGTTGTATCCACGTGTGAGCCGCGAAGTCTAGCAGTATTATCCTTTCATAAGATACTTGGTATATATAATGCAGTATGCAACATTCCCCAAGCCCTAGGTGTCCGTCTCCTCTAGCAGAGCCGGCCAAAGCCGGTTAATCTCACTGGTATCTACCCATATCACTGTATGCCTCTCTCTATCCATCACCTCGACCAACATCATCACTCATTTCATGCCAAACTCAACCAATGCTATCTATATGAACACAACAAAAGCCCACACCAGTTCCCTAAATATCCAATCTCCTCTCATCTCGCACTACTCCCCCCTACGAAGCAGTAACCTTACTCTCCTCAATCGCCCACTCCGCCCTCCCCATCCTCCTCAGCGTCTCCTCCCCATCCCCCGTCAACTCCGGCCGTCCCAACGGCGTCACACTCCCCACAAAAAACCTCGGACTCCACTCTATCCCCCCCTCTTCACGCTCCCGCGCCTTCCTCCGCTGCCGTTCCTCTATCTCCGTCTTGAGAACTGTCGCGCGTCCGAACTGGCGTGAAGTGATGGCTTCGGTAACGCCGGACCAGTAACGCAGGGATTCGTTGGGGAGCTGAGAGGTCTCGGGCGGGAGGATCTTAGGGGTGAGTGTGAGGGGGGTTAGGTCGATGATGGAGATTTGGGTCTGTAGAGTGTTAGTTGGGAGAGGAAGGGGGAGGAGTTTTTTTTGGGGGGGGAGTAGGACGGACCTTAAAATTCGGCGCAAAGGACACAAACACCTTCTCCTTCCAGTTGCCGGTAATGCGCGCGAGCACGTCCTTCTCTGGCACATTGGCGATGCGCATCTTATCGTCCTTCTCGGGGTCGTACTTGAACACCACGCCCTCGACTCGGTTCTGGGCCTTGCCTAGCCAGCCCTCTTCGAGGTAGTGGAGGATAGTCTTCGTGCGCGTCTTGGGACAGGTGGTGTAGCACTGATCCCCCACGCTGACGCTTAGACCACCGCGGAGCAGACCGCCTAGATGTGCGGCCGGGTGAGTGAGCTGGTACTGCTCATCGTCGCGCTTGTGCAGGGTGATGAAGATGCCGAGGTTATGCTCGCCGGGTGTGACTTTAATGGAAGTCCCTGTGAACTTCGCGGAGAGCTGGTCGAAGCCGCGCGCCGAGAGGCCCTTAGCGGGGCACTCGACGTAGAAGGCTGAGACGGGGGGGTGGTGGGAGGTCTGCTCGGTGAGGAAGGAGATGCGGATGGGCTCGTCGGTGGGTTTGGGGGCGGGCGAGGTGGGTTTGGCCGACGCCGTGGACTTGAGGGAGGACTTGGAGCTGGAGGGGGTGGTGGCGCGGAGGCTCGCGACGGAGGGGGCTACTTCGGCGACTTCCCAGTTGCACTGTTGAGTATTAGCTAGGCCATGGCTGGTAGGCGCGCAGGGCGTGTTACCCTGAAGAACTCGCCGAGGGTCGAGTTATATGGCTTGCAAGGCTTGCCCTTCACATACTTGAGGTCTTTGGTGAACCAGAAGCGTAGGACCTCGAGCATGCGGTCGAGAGCCTCGTCGGAGTCGCCGATGGCGGCGAAGGTTTCGGGGCGGTCGAGGTACGTCCAGTACTCGAGGTTGGGCGTGGGCTCTAGTAACTGCGCCGGGAGGGAGAAGCGCACTGATGCTATGTCCTTGACGCCGATGAACCTGTGGGGGGAGCGTGGTTAGCATCGGGTACGATGAAGGGCGCGAGCCCCGCCACATCGCGCTCGGTGGGTTATAAGAGGAGGAGACGTACTTTCTCAAAATGCCCAAGAACATGCGCAGCTTCGAACTATCATCCGGTGTCTTCTCGGTGGCCGCCTCAGCAGCTGCAAGCACAGAGTTCGGTGCTAGGGCCGGTGGGGGCTCTTGTGAGGCCTCGATGGCGGATGGGCTAGAGGTTGAAGCCATGATGGCTTGTCCCTGCGGAGGTAGTAAGTAGTAGCTTGCAACTCGAAGATAGTAACTTTAGTATCTTAGTGTGTCGACAAAGTCGTACGCAGCCGTGAGGACTTGGTTACAGCGATAGCGGTGATATTGCGTGTTCTGATGGATGTTTGAGGGAACAATTATAGCCTGGTCTGGGTTGAGATAAGATAGGCAGGGCGGGCGGTTGGAGTGCGGCGGTGGGCGATAAATCGCGGGGTTGTTTCCGCGCCGTAAGCTGCACCTCGAAGCGCCAGAACAACGTCCTCTTTGAAGCCAACGGCAACGAGATGAAATGTAATAAGAAGGAAGAAAAAATCACACACAAACCTCGCCGCCGAAGGCGCAGACTTAATGGCGCGTCGGCTATGTCTACACGACCAGCCGACCACAGACAGATGAGAAGGTGATAAGAGGGAGGAGATGTTGGAGCTTATGGCGGCCGGCGGACTTGTACGGACCAATAAATCGACCACGGGGATGGAAGGCGCGACGAGATCAATTGACGCCTGCGGATCAGGGGGAGCTGATTGCCAGACATGCGCAAGTACCAAACACGTCAAATTTAGTATGAAAGCTACCTTTTCTATTTAGGTGAAGGGGGAAGGATGAGATTTTGATAGATATGCCCCTCTCCTATAACTAATCCAACTGTTCCAGTGTCGATCACGTGACTTAGGCATGTCTCATGGTCACGTGATTGAGATGGAGGTGCTAGTGCCATGACGTAGTTCACGTGACATGGACAGGGACATTTGTTCGTCCAGACAAACGGCAAGCAAACGGCAAACGGCAAAGGCAAACGAGCGGCAAACGGCAAACGGCAAACGAGCGGCAAACGGCAAACGGCAAACGGCAAACAGCAGACGGCAAACGGCAGACGGCAAACGGCAAACAGCAGACGGCAAACGGCAGACGGCAAACGGCAAGCGGCAAGCGGCAAGCGGCATTCATTCTATCACGGAGTTTTCTCTCCGCTCTGGTCGCACCGAGATCCCTCCCATTCATCGTCTTTATGAATATGTCTCTGCATGCGTGCACTGGTGATATCACAAGGCAGTAAGTAGTACACCGGGACACCCCGAATACGATGCACGAGAGGATCCTGGATCCCAATCTGATAGTTTTCGCATCCGTTGTCTATGTTCTTTCCGGATGCAGGACCGCCAATGAGCTCCCGAGCTCATTGGTAGGCTGCTGCGGGTTCCCAAGCCATCAACGCCATCAACGCCATCAATGACATCACCACACGTCACACATCATATATTTTAGTTCACGCCTCGCCGGACTAAGGCTAAAGGCGTAGATGAGAGTTAACTGTGTGATATTAGGTGGAAAATTAAGGCCTATGTATGTCTCAGACTAACAAAGGGACTAGGGGACGAGGGGACGACTCGCGGATTCGTCAGCAAAGAAATAGTCGCGCTGTCAGTTCTCATTTCGGCCATGTTCAGCGGCAGTGTTGGAAGTCGGGATAAGGAACGCAACGTTGATATGTATGTATCCCGAGGCTTTCTTGCCAACCAAATATGGAGATTCGGTAACTGGAACGGCGGCCCACTTTGGGACAGGCCCTCCCATCGCCCCTCCCATCCCCCTCCCATCGCCCCTCCCATCCCCCTCCCATCGCCCCTCCCATCCCCTCCCATCGCCCCTCCCATCCCCCTCCCATCGCCCTCCCACCCCCTCCCATCGTCCTCCCTCCCCCTTCCATCCCCTCTGCCCCCTCTGCTCCCTCTGCCCTGCCCCACTCCGCCCTGCCCCACCCATACCCCCCTCCCCTCCCCACTCCCCACTCCCCCTCCCATGCCCTCCCATCCTTCCATGCCCTCCCATCCCTTCCATGCCCTCCCATGCCCCCCTCCCACCCCTCCCACCCCTCCCATCCCCTCCCATCCCCTCCCATCCCCTCCCATCCATCCCCTCCCATCCTCCCCCCCCCATTCCCCCAAAGCGATAAAAGCTACACTAACTACAGTACCTAAAATAGCTACCACACCCACACCCATAACCCATACCCATACACCCAATACACCCCCCATACACCCCCCATACACCCCCCATACACCCCCCATACACCCCCCATACACCCCCCATACACCCCCCATACACCCCCCATACACCCCCCATACACCCCCCATACACCATACACCCCCCATACTACACCCCCCCATACTACACCCAACACCCAACACCCAATACCCATACTGGCTACAGGCTACTGCTACAGGCTACTGCTACAGGCTACTGCTACAGGCTACTGCTACAGGCTACTGCTACAGGCTACTGCTACAGGCTACTGCTACTGGCTACTGCTACTGGCTACTACTGGCTACTCCTACTGGCTACTCCTACTGACTGTCTACTCCTACTGGCTACTCCTACTGGCTACTCCTACTGGCTACTCCTACTGGCTACTCCTACTGGCTACTAGCTACTTTACTACTTCACTACTACTACTACTACTACCTCACTACTTCACTACTGCTATACCACCTCCATGCTCAACTCTCTTATCCCATCATCTCACATCCTTCCAGAAACTCATCGAATAGAGCCTTTTACGCCTTTTACGCCTTTTACGCCTTTTACGCCTTTTACGCCTTTTACGCCTTTTACGCCTCTTACGCCTCTTACGCCTCTTACGCCTCTTACGCCTTTTACGCCCACCATCACCGCCCACAACCCCACCCCTCCCCCCCCGCCCCCCCCACCCCCCCTCACCACCCCAGTTCAATACATATACATAGCGTCACTGCTCGTATATAATTATCCTCATCTGCAGATACCCCCGAAACTCATTTGAACTGAGACATACCAAACACCTTTGAATCTTCTTAGTTCTCAAACTTAGTTCTCAAACCCCGCCATAATCACTAAGACCCAAGATCACTAAGACCCAAGACTCTCTCTTCTTCAAGGACTCGCGACTACCGCTCGCTCGCATTATTTCAAGTCTGCTCCTCGCATTGGCCTTCTTCACCTCACACATGCACTCGACGACGACCACAGACGCTCAATCATAGGCGCCTTCTCACGACTCCTCACCTCGTCGGCTCCTTCCAGATGTTTCGTAATAGGTGAGCAAATGCGCCCAGATTCCCCCCGTCCGGAGCAGACCTCGCACCGTCGGGAAGCTGCACAGCTTGTGCCGCCACACGATCGCATTCTACACACTCTATTGACTTTTGAAACATTGCTGACATTTCCTCAAGAGTATCTTCCCAAAAGCCCGGCGACGACCTTTACGCCCACTTCAAGGCCAACTTCGGCAATATCGTAGGTGCCACAACCGCCGGGGCGGCGGTTGTGCCGTCAAGTCTCGTTGTCGACCCATCAAACCTTATGGGAGAGTCGTGAGTATTTCCTTTCCCCGCCCACGGCAAAATAAGAAGTCTAAAATGGCATTCGCCTGGGTTGCTGCTGAACTCCCATACAGAGCGCGGACCCAAGCCGAGATGAAAGACCTAGACCCAACACCGAGAGCACAGAACGAGCCATGGCGCTTCACACCCTCGCTCCTCGACCCGAACTCCTATGCCTTCTCGGCATTCGCGAGCCAGATGCCCGCATACTATACCCCAGGCGCCAACGGAAATTCTCTATACCACAGCCAGGCCGGCGACCTGCATACACCCAGTATGGGCGTTGGGATGGGCGGGGGAACGCCATTGTCAATGCAAACGGGCGAGGGAGGCGTAGTGCATCCTGGGCAGGTCTACCTCCAACAACCCCACGCGCAGCAGCAGGCCTTGCCTCCGCAGAGCTTCCAGAACAATTACACTGGTTACCCGCCTACCACTGGCCACGAGCAGCAGCAGTCGTATGCGCCGGCAACATTCATGCGCCACGATACGGGCTACGAGACAATGGACCACGATGGTACGCCGATGCAGGCCAGCGGCAGACAGATGGAGCTTACTTCCATGCAACCGCCGATGATGACATACCAGCCACGGCAATTCGAGATAAATGCCGCTGCGCCGCTGGCAGCGGCTGAGAAGTTCCGTTTTCACGTGATGCTCAATGCGCCTACGGCTATGATTTCGAACACCGACGAGATTCCTGTTACATACTTGAACAAGGGCCAGGCGTACTCTGTGTCAATCGTCGACACGCAGCCAATGCTTCCTGTGCCGATGGGCACTCGCTACCGCACCTTTGTGCGCATCTCGTTTGAGGATGAGCAGCAACGGCAGAGGCCCGCATCTTGCTGGCAACTGTGGAAGGAGGGACGTGGCACCAACGAGGCCCACCAGCGCGGAGGAAAACTGCAGGCTGTTGAGTACGTCGAGGCGACTCAGCAAGCCGACTCGGACGACAAGCGTACGCGTGTCGAGCTAGAATCGGCCTCCTTCGATGGGTTCTCTGTCATCTGGACCCCCGGCGCAGCTGGGCTGGCTGAATGCACCCTGGCAGTTCGCTTCAACTTCCTCTCCACAGATTTCAGCCACTCCAAAGGTGTCAAGGGAATCCCCGTTCGCTGCTGCGCCAAGACCGAAGTTCTGGACCCGGGCTCGCCACATGCCGTCCCCGGCTCCACTGAGGTGGCGTACTGCAAGGTCAAGCTGTTCCGCGACCACGGAGCGGAGCGCAAACTATCCAATGACGTTCAGCATGTGAAGAAGACGATCGACAAGCTCAAACAGCAAATCAATCAAACCGAGGCCGGGATGAAGGACTTTGGGAAGCGCAAGCGCACTGGCTCGATTTCAAAGGCTACTACGAGCCAGCGAGCTGGGAAGGTGCCAAAGCACAAGCGCACCTGGTCCGTGTCCTCAGCTAGCTCTGCTGGCGGCCACATCCCCGCCGAGGAAGATCTTCATTACAAGCTGCAGCAGCAGCAGGACATGTTAACTAGCACCCGTCCAGTGAGCATCCTCTACCTTCGCGGCGCCGAACAAGACGACCCGGATCTCCACCCCGTCGCCCTCCCCGGAGAGCAGTGGGACCCCACAAAGGTCGACTCGCGCGACAACGCCGCTTGGCAGCAGCACACTAGCGTCCGCAGCGTCTCCACCGCCGGCACATCATCGCTAGTGTCACCATCCCCCAGCTCGACCTCCCTGCACTCGCAGGCTATGCTTGGCTCCTCCGCCATCCCGGTGGCCGCGCAGTGGGGCGACTACCACGGTTTGCGCGGCGCAGACGTCTCATCGAACCCGCAGCATCTCGCCAGCCCCCCTGACCAGCTCACCAAGATCCCCAAGACAGATGATGCGGGGGGTCTCAGCGGCTGGATCGAGGCGCTCGGTGTTGACTCGTCGTATCGCCCCCCTGCGGAGCCCGTAGGGAAGGCAGTCGCTTGCTTCTACGTCCAGTACCGTGATGCGTCGCCTACGACGAAGAAGCCGTACTATCGCGCTGTATACCTCCCCCAACGCACGCTGAGCGATTTCCTCGCTGAAATCGGCACGAAATGGGGCCTTGACCCTACGACCATCCGGCGCTCACTGCGTGTCCTCCCTAGCGGCCTTGAGGTCGAGATGGATGATGAGGTGGTGCGCGAGATGCGCGAGGGACAGGATGTGGCGTTTGAGCTGAAGAATATGGCAGCTGTCAAGCGCGAGTGGGAGATGACGATTGATGATGAGGGTGCGGAGGGAGAGGAAACGGAGACAGTGGGTTGCGAGATCAGATTGTTGTTCTAAGGATGATACCCATGACCAACGAAGACTGGTGTCGAGCGCCTGGGCATTCACAACCTCCAGCGACAAAACTCTCATCGATTAACAACCTACCACGGCACACACATCTTCGCACATCACGAAAAGCCAGGGTCTATGTACAGTACATGCACGCATAATCAACGCGCAAATTTGGATTGCCCTCGCATCGCTCAAAACATTTCCTACGATTACCCCATTTCATGCACATATTTTTTTACCCTCTTCGTCGAACACTCGACTCTTATAGGCAACAACAAACGTACACGCTTATTTCACATTTTTGGGGGTTTTTTTTTTGGGCGGCAACCAAACTCGGCAACAATTACGGGGGGGCATAGAAACAACCGGCTGCATGAAACGAACGAGCAACACGTATTACGCCTTTCCTTTTTTACTTCGTTTTTCTAAAAGGCAACGACAACTGGCAAAAGGGAAAGGGGTTTCTTGGGGGGGGGGCGCAACAAGGAGGGGGGCGCGTTTATGTGATTTATTTTATGAGTAAAAGATTTATATACCCTATATACCCTACATCTACCCAAAAAAGATTCATGTACCCCACCGCCGTCCGTAACCCATGCAATTCCCGTGACCTCGCTGCCGTAACCTCGCTATCGCCCCCTATTCGTGTGGGCGGCGGCATTTTCTCATAATATGATAAAATGGCTCCGTGAGGGGACCCCCTAAGTCGTCGTATAACCCTACGACGACCATCGTAAGTTTTGGCCCCCACCTTAGACCTAAGTCCTAATATCTTAATGACTATAAGCCTAAGTGCTTTAAAATTCAAATAAGACACTTTAAATGCCTATAAAAGGCTAAATATACATTTTTATAGTTTAGTTGTTGAGATTTAGTTACAAAATTCATGATTTTGGGTGTAAAATGGGCAACTCGCTTGGGTGGGCAACTCGCATGTGGAATACGTTATAAATCTTTTACTCTTATTTTATTTAATCATTTCCTTTTATGGATCGCATGTGACATACGTTATAAATCCTTTAGTCTTATTTTATTTAATCATTTCCTTTTAGTTGCGGCTGAACCTAGAACCGGGGAGATTGGAGAAGAAGCGGCATACTGTCGATGGAGCGGAGACTTCTAATGGGAGTGGCTGAAGCTGAATGCATGGATGTGGGTAGATGAAAATAAATAACCTAGGCCGCTAGTTTTCTGGCAAGTTGAAATCGAGAACATTCGGAGATGCTTTACCAACCATTCATTACTGCCTTACACTTTGCTCGTCGTTCGTTTTGTGCATTTCCCACCGTGAAGCTTGCCCGTCATGTTATGCAGAGGCCCTACGTATTCACACCCGAACGTCCGAGTACGACGTTGCTGGTGACAGATCAGTAATCCAGGCCGATCCATAGGCCCTCTCATCGCCCCCCCACCGCTGCGCCAAGACATCCATACAGAACAGCGCGTCGTCATTTCCAGAGAGAAAGATTAGCGTAGAGTACTGATCCAGCAGCACCTGCAGATAGCCGCAGAACCCGCCGAGGCCCCTACTGCACGCGCTAGAGGGCGGGCGAGACAGAGTATGTGTGTCTCTGGTGGGAGGGCGGAGGGGGACCACATGCCGTAAATGGCAATTGGTATAAGCAGTGTGGTGGAACAAGTAGTTGTAGAGGAGACTGAGCGCCGAGAAGGGAACTTGGAGGTAATAGTCTCCCTGCACAGCACAATGGAAGATGCCCGTACTGTGGTGGTGGTAGTGGTGGTAGTACAGTGGGTGCTCACAGTACCAGGGGCACACTAGCCAAGAAAAACTTTCCCATCTCCAAAATCCGATGCTTTAGGTAAGCATCGGATTTTTGGAGATGGGATGTTTAGCGTAAAACATCCCAGCCTCGGTGTGGACAAACTTCACGGAGATTGGATTGGGAGGGGACCCACCATCCGATCGCCGTTGGCCGCTTTTTTCGCGAATCTGCTTACCATAGCAAACATCGCTGCCGGCGCCGCAGGGCCGGGTGTGCGCGCGTGGCGACTCCGTCGTGAGTGGATGGACGTCTCGGAGAGGCACCGCACAGGAGAGGACGTGCAAATCCCTGGGTATCGCTTGCGGGACTTTCCGTGACTTTTTGGGGTGCGTGGTGTGAGTCGGTGGAGACACGCAGATGCGAAGTACGAGATAATATTCAGGGGGGCAGGTATCAGGTGCACAATCGTATGTTTAGAGCATAAATCTCGAGGGGGGTGTGCAGATATCCTACTGAGCCGCAGCAAATTATGCCCGAGAACAGAGTAGGGCCGTCCCCGCCTGCCTTACCAGCTACAAACAGGCCTCGGTGTGGCCGGTGCCAGTGTGTCATGACAGTAGACAATTTAGAAGCTGCTCTGCTTCGTTTTGTAGCAGCAAGGGACCCCTGTAGGCTAAAGGCAGAAGACAGCAATTGCTATCGTTATAATACTCATACTTGCTATGGTAACAAGTATGGACGAAGAGTACTAGGTACACTTGTGGTATCACTAGAAAGTAGCTTAGAGAGCTTAGAATCATTAAGAATAGCAACAGATGCGCTATGATGGCTAAGGGCATCTTGAAAGCTTAACTAATGCTTAAGCTCTTAAAGCTTTCTAGTTCTCCTACAAGGATATTTGCTAGCCTACCCCTCTCCTCTGCCTCTATAATGTCTCTTAGTTAAGAGGCATTTGGCTAACCCCTAGTTTGTTACAATAGTCACAGAGGTCACGATGCTAGTCTAGGTAAAGTAAGCTAGATTGAATCTAAAGAGAGAAGAAGAAGAAAGGAAGGAAGAAGAGGCTATTCCTCATTGTATGCAGCTATAGGCTTAGCAATCCCTTGTAACCTTAGTGGCTACTATAGCTGCCTGTTCTTATAGTTGCTAGCGGCTATAATGTGCAATCATAGCAAAGTTGGCCTTATATATCCTTTATACAGCTTGCCTTTTCTAGGAGATGGTCGACTCTTAAGAGTGTCATGACACTCCTTCGATATTTGTGTCATAACCCTTTGATTCGCTTTAGTCTCTAGTACTTATTTCACTATGTCATTCACTTCACCTGCTTCACTCACTTCACTCACTTCGCTTCACTTGCTGACCTAGATCAGCCCAAATGTTGACTACTGGCTTAGGCTCTCTTGTTATTGGCTCGCTTCACTAGGGCTCGCTTCTAGGGTTCGGTTAATTAGTGCCTTCACTTATTTGGCACTAGGGATTTTTACTGTTATATAAGCACTTATTGCTCATGTCTCTTATTAATCTTTTAATCCATTTTGCAACTACAACGGGCAGGTTGGTGTCTAAAACATGGCTTAACTACAACAAGGACACCACACAGAGAGAGAGAAGGGAAATAGAGGAGAATAACTTATAAAGGACAGGATGAGGGGACTAAGTAATAGGGGAAATGTCAATCATCAACTATACCACAAGATACCAACTATCTCGTGTACGCTAGCCTAGCCTAACACCAGCACAGATTCAACTCTCGGGCTAGGATAGTACATACATAGGGAGTTAGGGGCAGAAGGAGAGCCTACGGCTATAGTACTCCTTGAGACTATAATCGTCGGATCCGCCTAGTCGCTTCGCTCCCAGTCGGAATAAGCAAGTTGTCTTGTAGGAAGCAAGATGTCTTGCCCTAACATTTAATTTCCATAACAATTCTATAACGATTCAACAACATATCTAACCACAAGACTACACTTCGTGAAGCAAAGGAATGGCTCCTTGCAGGGTTGATTATATCCTCTGAATCCTCCAGACTAATAAAGATCCGAAGAAGACCGTTAACCTCCTTAAAGCAATATAGTGGACTCGAATTGCATAGAACAATTGTGTTACTAATACAACAATTCAATGCTGCTTTGTCAAGTTAACAGTAGTTAAGAAACCAGTTGAGATTAAGGTTAGAGAGGCTGATGAAATCAGAGATCAAGAGGCCCTTCAAGCTCAAATGGCACAGATACCAGAGATTCAAGATCTATTGACAATTGAAGAATTAGTTAACCCTCCTGCTGAAGAGATTGATGATCTAGATGATGATGTAATAGAGGCAATACTTACAGTCAAGATCAAGAAGATGATATAGGAGAGGAGGGAGACGAAGAGATGGAGCCTCCTGTCTCTATATCTAAGGCTATTTGTGCTCTTGAGACTCTACAACAATTTGAGATAGCTAGGGAGTACAGATCACACAATATTAAGGTGTTATATAGACTTAGAAGAGAGCTTTTGATGTTAAAAGTCTCAAAAAAAAACCAGAGGACTCTAGATAACTTTTTTGTATGTAAATAGAACAATATTTGTGAAAATATGTCTTGAAACTCGTGACCCCTGATGTAAGGATACCTCAGTTTATCCTTATTTTGTGGCCCCATATCCTTATGTCAGGGTTTTACTGTAATCTATTTAGTACAGTAGAACCCCGATATAAGAATGTGCTCGGGACCAGGATATGAATAAGAATACATAGGGTATTCTTATACCAGGGTACACATGATTGTATTATGTCTATGTACCTAGTATCCCCGCCTTTGAAGGTATTTTTGAATAGTTGTCTGTTGTGTAGTTTAGTGCCTAACTTATGCCATTTCACAGCTGACATGATGAAATGCTAGTGGAAATCTACAATTATTAAGAAGGCAAATAATGCAGTCATTAACAATGACAATTTACAAGCTGATCAAGATGATTTACAAACTCAAATGAACACTTCCTAGATATAACGGACCTCCTCTCACTCGCTAAGTTCATCAAACCTGCTAGTGAAATTGTTGATGATAATGATGGAGATATATTTGCGTCAGTGGTCGAGTATTACAATCACCAAGCAGCAAGCAAAGGGGAAAGCGAAGATGAAGGCGATGTTAAGCAGGAAAGAATCACTACAATGGAAGCTTTACAATGTTTAGATACAGTCAGATTATGGAAGCTACAGCAAGAGGGCGTAGATAATAAGCCACTTAGTTGACCCCTAGCGCCCCTAGAAGCTGACCTCTATGCAATTAGCATTAGTTAATAACCTTCTATGTATTGTGAAATTGTCTTAGATTGCAGCCCATCTGTTAGGGTCTCTAGAAGGCAGCTAGAGAGAGGTGTGCTATTAGACAGTTCAAAAACGCGTTAGGAGCGAGGGAGCCATGCAACAGCAGTTGCTACTACTTAACATCGTCGATTGATAGAAGAAAGAGCAGCCTGTCATTAACAGTAAGTGACAGCTATCTAGTAAAGTGGTTGACAAGGATGTCTAAGGGGTATTAGAGTGATAGGATTATATGACGCCTAAACAACAGCTTCTAATCGACGCTGTTTTGACATTTCTCAAGACATCGCTAGAAAGTGAATGTCAACATAGGATTATGGCTATTAATGCCATGATGGTATACTGCACTGTCAAGGAGGGTGCGACCTTCTGTCACAATCATGCTAGTCAGCTAGTTCCACCTGTCTCTGTAATCAAAGCTGAAAAACCGCTGTGGTCTAAGGCAGATATCATGCTGAGACATGCAATATCGTTAGTTACGATGGATAAGAGGCCAACTATATGCTTCGCATGTCTTAGGAACCCAAACCTAACAATTTAGGAGAGGGTCATCTTGTTTTCAAGTCCTAGCTGCCTAACAAGGCACTTTATAAGAAATCATATTAGAAGACTTAGAGTTAACGAGCCAACTAATTGTCGAATCTATGATGTCTAACTTGAGCATCAGATGCATTTTCAAAACCACGTAGAGAAAGTTCACGAAACTGTCTCATAATACTATAACTAGATGGAATCACTCAAATGTATGCATTATGGTTTGCTGATTAAGTAGGTAATGTAAGTCGTGGCATAGGTGGAATTTTAAAGAGAACGCAACAAATCTGTAAATTTAACTACAATCAAGATTTGTGTAATGTGGTGATGGAGGCGGAAAAGGCAACACATAACCAAAGTAAGGAAAAGCGCAAAACAAAGGACAAGGACGCCTCCTTAGACATTGAAATTGACAAGTATATTAAAGAAGAAGCAGGGGAACAATCTAAGAGTGACAGCAGATCATGTCACAAATCTTGTGTAGAAACATGAAAGTGACCATTTAGAACAACCCTTTTCCCCTTTGTACGTACTATATGTTGCTTCATAACTAATCGCAAGTTGTTGGTATTAAGTTGGTGAACAATGCTACATGCTCTAAGTTGCTCTAATGCAACTGTGAGTTTTTGGATGCATGTCTACACTAGTGTAATGGTGGGTGCACCAGATGTGAGAATCTAGCCACCCAAGGAAGGGATGAATTTACTAAGACAACACACTGTCTTAGGAAACAGAGCCAAAGGGTTGTAGCTTAGACTATTCCACAACGCAGCAATCAGGTGTGTGATGTAGTGAAGTGGTTCAGACAAGTTGCAACAAATGTTAAGTCTGGGAACTCAGGGGTAAGTCAGAGGTTAACACCTCACTGACTTTTCAGAAACAAGGAGTAACAAGATGAATGCTTGGAAGCTTGGAAAAGACGTGGAAGTATGTGATAGTCGATTTACTGTATTGTCTGCTTGCCCTTTCTTAAGGAAGTGTAATGAAGCATAGATGGTTGTAGCAATCGTTGAGTAGTATTGCTCTTGTTGTTGGTGTGATAAGCCAAAATATGTATAGTGACTTGTAGGTTTGAGGAGGAGATTTTCAAGTTTGCTCTTGAGTTTGATAGCAAACTGAGTGCAACGAATGTCAGTATGACAAGAAGGAAGGAAAGAGAAGAGGAGCACTCGAGCAGTGGCTCGATATATATACAGCTATGTTGTTGTGGATGTCATACTGACATTCGTTGCACTCAGTTTGCTATCAAACTCAAGAGCAAACTTAGAAATCTCCTCCTCAAACCTACAAGTCAACATACATATCTTGGCTTATCACATCAACAACAGAAGCAATACTACTCAACGATTGCTGCAAACTCTTCTACTACATCTGTTTATGCTACATACATCACGGCATATCATTTGGACACTCATTGAACAAGTTATTAAGAAAATCTCCTCCTTAAGGGGGTGGGCCAATACTACCACATGGCATATCTCTACCAACTAGAGGCCTAGGAACATGAACAATAGCTCTAGAAGCTTCTACAACCCTCTATGATTCATTACATGTCATTGCTCCTTAGTTACCCACAAGATTGGTTAAGTTATGACATAATTTATCTATAGGTGCTCTGACCTTGGACCTCCTTTTCACTTCCTATAGGCTAGGAACCCAAGAGATGGTTCTATGGGATTCTCTTACATTCGCTACATGATTAGCAAGCTAGTTGTGGGTCGCACTTGATTTCTAATACATTTACCAAGCCTGGTTAGTCATGGAAAGTCATGGAAAATGAGAGAACTACACTCCTTTGGCATAAATAGGATTGCCCTTTCCTTAAGAAAGGGCAAGCAGGCAATACAGAAAATCGACTAGCACATACTTCTACGTCTTTTCCAAGCTTCCAAGCATTGATCTTGTTATTCTCTGTTTTTGAAAAGTCAGTGAGGTGCTAACCTCTGACTTACCCCTGAGTTCTCAGACTCAACATTTGTTGCAACTTGTCTAAACCACTTCACCACATCATACACCTGATTGCTGCGTTGTGGAATAGTCTAAGCTACGACCCTTTGGCTCTTTTTCCTAAGACAGTGTGTTGTCTTAGTAAATTCATCCCTTCCTTGGGTGGCTAGATTCTCATATCTGGTGCACCCACCATTACAGTGGAGTGAATTCTCTTTAGCGAGACCAGTTCTGAGAATTCACTCCACAACAGAAAACTTCGCTCCAACCCCGGAAAGCTCCCCACACCCCTAAATCCCTACTCGAGCTGCAAGGCGCACTTGATATCGTAACACACGTCATTGAAATTAAGTGACTAGTGCAACTAGAGTTCTTTAGCTATTTTCTTTAACAACGGATGCCCTAGAGAATACCCGCTAATTGTTAGGTTTTTAATCCACTTTAGAAGTATCTGTTCTTGTGCTCCTGATAAATTCTGTTGCTTCTAGCAGGCTTAGGGACATGTCAAACCTCTATTAACGTAACTAAACTCTTTAGAAACCCTAGCGCTTTCTTACGTGATATGCGCTCTTGTACTTCTTGATTAGATGTCTAATACTGCCTAGGCTATTAAAGTTTCACACTTAGCACCCCCCCCTAGGCTTTTATGGTGAACCATTGTTAAATTATTTACAGTTATTAGAAGTTGGCAGGGTAAATGCACCGCGTTACGCCATCCCCCGCGTTACAACACTACTTACGTTAGAGGAAGTAATTAAATGTAGAAGAGGCGTCATCATTAATATTTTCATCTAACTTGCCTATCATGATCCATATCAGTCCACGCCTTCAAGAAAGTGACCTGACTCTGCATAGCTTGGTGATTCGTACCTATCAACCCTACAGCCATGATGCAAATGGTCCTCTACTTTCTTTCATTTAATTTGCTTATATGTTTAATAACAATGCCCTGGCACTAACTTTCACATACAAAACAGTTCCTAACTCTTCACTAGAGTATATAACCCATTCTATAATGCCTTAAAAACTCTGCATTTAACTTGTTAAGTTGCTCTCTAGGTGTAGAAATCATAGAGGTAGACAAATTAGGCACTCTATTCTACAAGAGCATCTAAAAGGATTGGTCAGACATATGACCAAGCCACTCTGAAGTTTGATCCCTGTTGAACTAGCAAAAGTGAATCAATCCACTTCCGCTGTAGTTCTTATAGTCAGCTATATTATAACAATCCCTAACGCTGATTCTCTTGGCTGATATCGGCTGTAAATCATGCCTCCTAGCGAAAAAAAGGTGTGGACACGGCAAATCCGCCATGCCACTAAGGAGAAGGTAAATAAATCTATTGTATAAAAAGACAAAAAACATACAACAGTAGGTATTCGCTGGTGGTCACCCACCCAACTACTAATCCACCATGGTGTTTAAACCTGTAAACATATTACGGACGAAATCTAAACCTGCAAACGCTCGTAACCACCCGTAAATAGAGTTAAGGTAAGCAGTAGAATAGTAGTATAGATAGTATTTCTAATTAATATCACATAATACCTCTGGATATACAACGTTTGGTGTTGTGTTATCGTCACCTTCCGGAAGTAGAACGTGTAAGCCAGCTATGGATGACGTCCGCGACATTGCAACATAGAATTGCCCATGACTAAACATAGCTGCCCATAGATCAACACCTACATGCTTAAACGACTGGCCTTGAGACTTATTAATAGTCATACCTCATCGCATTTCAAGGCCAGGAAAACATCTAAGGAGCCTAGATGAAAGTCTTTCCATAGACATTTCACCGGTAGTATAGAATCTAGGGCCTGGAGAAGAATTGGTCGTTTTAGAAGACGGGTCAAATTTTGGTCCTTCGTGTCGCTATGATACTGAGCCCTCCACCGCTTTTCGCCTCGTGTATCGGTAGCTACCTGACAGCGACGTAGCTGGCGAAATATAATTCCATCATTATAATTAGAGGAGTACCCATACCCCTCCCGTAAATTTTGTCTTGCGTCTTCGCCAAGGTCTAGTTGCGTGAGTCCCCAGATCGGTTCGGCAAGTTGGCATGTTCGGGCTCACCTTTTCTGTAGAAGTCCACCGTCCACCATCTCTCCTTAGTAGGCAAATAACGTTTAGCAGCAAGTATCCGATGCTGTCCATGTAAGCATTCTAGTCGGATATTCTCGGGGAATTCCAGCTTGGGCGGCTGGCTTCCAGAGGCAATACGGAGACTATCAATATCAACTAAAGTTCTGTCCAGGGCCGCTTGAAAAGTAGAGTCGTCAATGATGGCAGGTATTCCGTGTTGCTCATCAAGGCAACCTTCTGCCGCAAAGGTTTCCTTTAACTGCTTAATAAATTTGTCATCTTTGCTGCGAATTGGGTATGGGAACGTCAGGTGGTCAAATCGAACCCGAGCAGTCCCTCTCAATTTTGCCACCTTTTCATTTGATATCCTTCGCTCGAAGACTTCTAAGATTCCAGGGCCTGAAGTGCCCATAGTAAGAGAGCGAATTGTTCGTTTTTGTCTCTGTACTTGGGTGTTTTGAAACTTGTCAATTCCTATTCACGAAATCTCAAATTCATCGAGAGCTGAGCTAGGTGACAGATGATACACAATTGCACTGCACATTTCGGACCACCACACACGACGGATGGTAATTCGTTCCATCATGCCATCTTCAAACCGCTGTAACGGTAAAGTGGGTCATTTCACCACCCTGAGTGGTGGTGGACCACTTCATCTCGGGACCATCTCCCAGGAGGGTGGATGTGGACCACGACACCTCCAGACCATCCGCCACAACGGATGCAACCTCACGACCACCACCTCCGTTAATTCCGAGGTCATCATAGCAACTGCTATATCTCCGATTGACATCCGCTTCCAAGAAAACAATTACAGATAAATCCGTCATGTCGCGATAAAATAAAATAAATCACGTGATACCCGCTGGCCAGAGCTAAATGTTGGAACGGGAAGTACCGTGGTACGGGATCACACACAAATCGTGTGGTTTCTTCAGTGGCCGGGACTTCTCACGGGCGCAACGGGGCAGGAGTTCTCACACAGTATATAGCTTACTATAGCAAAATAAGATCGATTGATTAACTACACTATCTAATGGGCGGGCCTACGTGGCTATTTGTAGGCCTTTCGGAGGTTCTGCTTCGACCCCCCAAAAGCCCCCTATTCTGGTGGCTTCAGAGTGGGATTCTGCCATTATAGGGCCAAATACCACCGTATCCCAGCGCCCACGGCCTACTCTCCAACACTAAACCATGGCGAAGACAAGACGAGATCCACTGATGATGTACTTGGAAAACCACCATCAAATGACCCAAGAAACACAGTCTTTCCGGGGAATTTTGATGTCATAGAATTGAAAAGCCTGAGCTCGCTAGAGGTTCCGAGCGCAGAACGAGAGGGATGCTTCTAAAAATATTCCTCTAAAAATACCTCCCAAAGTGACCGCCTTAGAGTCAGAGACACAGACGAAAGGTCCCAAGAAGCGAACCTCCATAAACCACTGGGCCGAAGACCCTTGGGATACATATGAAAGTCTCCGCACTTTGGACAGAGGGGGAATCGTTATAGCCGCATATACACGAAAAGCTGATAAAGGAGTTACGATCTGTTCGCACTACCGAGCTAGAATGGTCTTACCATCACAACTTAGTAGCTTTTCTAGAACTGTATCAGTTTGAGGAGAAAAGGCTCGCAGTCATGGAATATACAGTCGCCACATTGCAACATGTAATGTCAGTCCTGCCACTGAAAGAGATTTACATCTCGGCCGTATGTTGTCAGGTAAATGTTGCATATCAGATCTTGATGATCTGCTAAACGTCATAACTATTCAAAGGGATCCGGCACTTATCAAGGAACGGGGTAGTACACAGCAATGTCAATACTTCTAAGGTTCTGTTTACCCAAGACGGTTGTGTTAAAATAGGTATGCCATCATGCGGTAACGGCTAACAATGCAGCCTTTTTGGACGATTACCAGGTGTCAGCTTCTACCCGTGCCCGTCCATTAGGTGTTATTGCAATAGAAATGATGCAAAACGGATTACCTCCAGGGCCTGGCGGCGGGCTCATTCTCAGACATCCAGACCTGTGGTCAGCGGAAGCCGCAAACTTCTTGTCGGTGGCATCGTGGGGAAGCCTACAAGACCTAAAGAATGTAAGACACCCAGGACGTCACTGGCCTATGCTGAAATATTAATAAGAACAAATTTCTAACATGTTCATCACCGTCGGTTATGATTCCACATGTAGAGTGTGCCCGGTGGGGAACAGTCGAGTGGTATATAGGGGAGAAAGCGGGCGGGAATCAATCCCAATTGGCACAAGATACACCTGTGAGACAGAAAGAAACGGAAAAGCCAACATCATATGATGATTTGTTAGCAGAGTATATGAGTTGATTATGTTAAAATCTAGATAACTATTTGAAGGCAATAACAAGACAAACCAAATCTCGATATTAACCACCTTGCAATTAAATGGGATCGGTCCGACTCGTCTTTTTCGTGAAACATACAACTCTTAAGTTCACATGAAGTGCCATCTGCTTTACCTCCGTCGGTGAGATGCGGATTTTACATTGCCACGACCACTCCTTAAACAAAACATGATTACGCCAGAGAGAGGTATGTTCTTCTGCGAATATTGTGTGCACGAAAGCAGAGCGTGATGTTCCTCTGGCAGGTGGGACAGAATAAAAATAGCTACAGCTTGAGCATCAGGTATTCCAGAGAGTAGTCGCTCCATCTGCTGCAAGGGAACTTCCGTGATCCCGCCGAGTCCCCTCTCTTCATTTTGAATGGTTATAAACTCAATTCCAGGCAAGGCTCTCTCGCTCCCACGACCTGGTTGTATTTCTAACATATACCTGGCAGCAAGCTTGCTGATTTCCGATTCACTATCATCGTCAAGCTTCAGTTGGCCCGGTTGCATCGTTAACAAATAGATGGCAACAAACTTCCACAAGGCAACTGCGTCCTTTTCGTTCTCAGGCTCTGCGGTCGCTGGCATAGCTGGCAAAGAGCTGGCGGTATACTCCAATTTGCCAACTTCGGCTTCCCCTCGCTCGGGCTTTGAGTTGATCGCATCTGGCCGGGATGAGTGCTTCTCTAACTCATCGTTTGGACTGGTTCGATCATGTTTGTGGGCTGGCACGTCCATAGCTCTGGAATCGAGACGGGTAGGAATGGCTTGTGAAGGAGCTGCCTCAAACGCTCCTGACTTCTTCTAGCTTTGTCATGATACCTTCAACGTCGCATTGGCCCTTCCGAAGCAACTGAGTGCCTGCTTGCTCGACTATATTCCGAAGCTGTTTGAACTTCTCGAGCAGTAGGTCAAAGTTGAACAAGCGATCTTGTTTGACCCTAGTGCTTTGGATCTGATTAGAATCCATCATCTGAGTTATCCGTTTATTCCTATCAAAATCCTTTCTCTCTCTCTCCATCTTTGAAAAGATCGAATCCAGAATTGTTAATCGATTTGAAAAGCTCGTTGACGATGCCTTGCGCCTCCCAAGTGTTCTGGATTTGTCCGAGGTTTTCCACTGTAACCAACCAACTATCTATTGCGCTCTGGATCTCATTTAATTTTTTCGCAGTTGTCGGATCACAGTCTGGGTAAAGATCCTATCATTATTAGAAATACGAAACGAATAAGAGGCTATTAACTTACCCGGAGCATCGAAATCTCAGCGCTCCGTTCCAAATGTTTGTCTCTGTTCCTCAAATCTCCGCCAATATCACCATCACTTGGTCGTTTCAACAAGGTCGGCTTGTCGTTAGGGTGCAAGAAGGCCATTTCGAATATTGATAAGTAGTTTGAGGAACAACGGTCGTTTGCGTAGATAGAAGGCCACAGACGGGACGAGCGGGAATTTAATGGCTTTATATGCTGATCTATCTTTCGATCGTGCTCACGTTTGTCAAAAGCTGGAATGCTTGCAGTAGCCTTCTCGGAACTCATACTTGCTTCCTATAACATTTCAGACGTTAGCATTCCGAGGGTCATACACGATAGAGGATCATACAGTGGATGAAATTAGAGAGCTTGGTTTGGACCTAGGAAAGGGTCTCTTCCATAGCGGTGATTATATGGTAGATAGTTCAAGAGCGGTAGCTTGTGAGATTGTGAATGCAGGGCCTGATATGTCAAAATATAAAGAATTCCAAAAACAGCCAAGTAAAATAAAGGATGAAGACGACGTGGAGTTGAATGAAGAACGATTTGTATGAAACAAACTATACCTTCGTTTCATGATTTAGCCTGTTCAGGCAAGCAAGCAGTACACGGGAGTATCATTGAAGCATATAGCCAGGCTGGCTATACGTGCAGACTTCGTCGGGGCTCCCCGCAATTGTAAGCCCTCCTGCAGTGTACATCCTCGACCTCCGATACTAGAAATATCAGAAATGTCAGCCAATCATTTTATGTCGTATAGCTAAAGTTGGGAAGCTGCTCACGATTCCGTTCCCATAGACGCCACGCCCACAACTGCTGTGTGTCATACGCTCAGCGCTTCGAGGAACTCAATTGGTTGATTCACTTATGGACTCAACATACTGCTCCCTCTCCTTGCTCTTCGTGTACGCTAAAAGATTGGTTATTGGTAATTTAGAGTCCGCGACGATGAACGAAGCAGAAAGAGATATTTGTTTGTACTACGTACAGAAATAAAGCTCGAAAATATGTAAAACAAAAGAGAAGTCTGCAACAACAGGACTGTTCGCCACCGCCGAAAGGCTGCTTGCAACGTAATGCCGATAAATCACTCTACCAGAGGTGAAATAGAATCAGTACAGAAAGTGGTGGCATATGCCTTGGATGTTATCCTTCTTGAACCGATGCAACACAGCCAATTCCTTGCCACGGAAAGCAGTGTTATGTTGCCCTTTTCAGCATTGCCGCCGAGTGTACGTGATATATGGTCGAGATTGGCGATAAATGACAACAGCGGGGCCCTCCCTTCGCTGAGATCATTCAATGAAGGAACGAAAGGCAGGGTCATACGCTCCGGTAGACTCCATCAGGTGTACATATCTCGAATTTCGATGATACGGCTGTCTTAGACCGACGGTCATGTGTAACGTAGTAATAAGGCTTCCATGGACCGCGTTGAGTATCTGTGGAGGCCATGACGATGAAATGCCTGATCAGAGACCAAATCCAATAGAAGCTGGGTGCAGGATGCACAATGCCAATGCGTCAACGGACGTGGACTGGTGAGAGTAAACAGAGTTGTGCATGAACCATGTAAGATCTGAGTGAGGCGAAAAGTGGTAGATGCTTCACCCACAAAGGCTCACCGAGGAGTGGCGGTATGCAGGATAGGTACCAATGAAGAGAGACAAGGCTTGCATGTAGTGTCAAAGGAGCGTGCACTCGGTGAGAGTAAAGAACAGCGGTGAAGCGTGACTGGTGAAGGTGATCAAGTATGATTGAACAGGAATAAAATGAAGAGGACAGAAGCTGATAGCCTCGTTCTGCAGCTCCTTCTTATACTTGAATTGGATTCCCACGTTGGAGCACAGCTCGTTGGACCAACATCAGATGGGTCATTTTCTCTTTCCCACGGCAGAACCACTCAGAGGTTCTGCCCATCTGGCGGGTTAGGGAGCATTCCCCGGCACTACAGGACATGCAAATAAAGTAACATTCAAGGTAGGTAGCGGCGTGTTAATAATTGGAAACAAAGACAAAGACCCCCAGGAGTTCTTGAGCTGGGACAATCATATGCGGACAAATGCACACTAATCCCAAAAGGTCGGTTCTCTCCGACTAGTGTATATAGAGAGAGTGTGCATGTAGACCAGGAGCGAACGCATCCCAGCCTCACCAGTTTTAGTCGCGTCGTGTCTGTCTCAACCAGCCTACAACTTCAATTATGGTCACCGTCGATACAATAATAAGCCAGCTCTAATCGTTCGATGGGACCGCTACAATTGAGGAGCTTTTAGACAAGGCAGAGGTGAGTACGCCTTGATAATACGGCCTACCTGTCTAACGTCTTTGAATACGAGCCGCTTACAGCTGGGCCTGTATTTTCTTCTCTATAACCATCCACTCACTTGATTTTGTTCGACTAATAACCTTCGCCACATCCTCCTGTGTAGGCTCTCTCGCCTCAACAGCAGGATTATACTTTGACTTACTAACCCCCACAACATCTTCTACCAGCCCATTCAACTTCCCATCCGCCCTCTTATACACCGTAACCACCGCCGCCCCGCCCAACCCAAGATTATGCTGCAGTGCATACCTCGCGCCCTCCACATGGCGATTCGTTGCCCACCCTCTCAAATGCCAGCACAGCTCTGCACACTGCGCCAGTCCCGTCGCCCCTAGCGGATGTCCTTTGCTGATCAGGCCACCACTCGGATTCACCACTACCTGCCCACCAAACGTGATTCCGCCGGCGCGAACAAGCTCGTGCGCTTTGCCCGGAGCCGAGAGCCCGAGACCGTCTATAGTGATCATCTCATTTGCGGAGAAGCAGTCGTGCAGCTCGCAGACTTTGACATCTGCGGCTGTAATTCCTGCCTCAGACATGGCGACACGCGCTGCTGTGCGTGTCATCTCCATCCCTACGAGGTCGATAGCCGATCGCGAGTATAACGCCGGGCTGTCGGTCGCCATATGCTGGCCGGCGATGAGTATTGCTTGTTTCTTGAGATGAGGGTGTGCTTCAAGCCACTTCTCGGATACAATAACGGCCGCGGCGCCGCCGTCAGAAGTCGGGCAGCACTGAAGCTTTGTGAGGGGCGAGTGAATCATCGGTGAGTTCTTGATCTGCTCAAGGCTATAGACGTCGCGAAACTGTGAGTACGGGTTCTTTGCGCTATGCGCATGGTTGATACGGGCGATCTCTGCGAAGTCATCGGCTGTCGCGCCGTACTTCTCCATGTACTCTCTGCCAGCATTGCCAAAAGTTTGGGGCGCGCGGGGAGTGGTGTCAGAAAAGCCGCGAGTGGCGCGCATCATGGCGACGGTGCGGTCATTGGGGGGTGTTCGGTCGGGGAAGTTGGTCTTGAGGGAGCCGGGGAACATCTTTTCGAAGCCGACGACGAGCATGCAATCTGCGGCGTTGTGGGAGATGAGCTGCCGTGCAAGGTGGATGCCCGAGCTGCCGGTTGAGCAGTTGTTATTTACATTATAGATGGGGATTTGGGTCATGCCTGAAACGGAAAAGAGGATAGATTAGCACCTGTATTTGATGAAAATGTTTCGCGGGGGAACGAGCTCACCAAAGCGGTAGAAAACACGTTGGCCGCATGTGCTGTCGCCATATACGTAGCAAGCAATGCCTTGCTGGACCTCATCATAGTTTATTCCCGCATCCAAAAGGGCTTTGACACCAGCCTCGAAGCCCAGGTCGGGGTAATCGACGAGTCCTCTCGGCTTGATGAATTTGGTCAGCCCCACGCCGACGACGTATACCTTTTGAAGAGCTGCCATTATTATCAAAGTTGCTACACAAGTATTATCCAAACAAGAGATCAATCAATTGGCGAAAGTGAGACTGGCGAGGCAAGACATCGTATCGTGCTCGAGAAATATGCTCCACTATGTGCAATCCGGGGATGGGAATATGAGCACCCATCTCAGCCGAGACAGCTAGATACCATCATAGGCAGAGCCGAAGTCAAGGTCGGATTGTTCTGCCGAGCTTATTGCTACGGAGCCCGTGGTTGATCCCCGCGGTAAAGGGACGGGTACAGACATGGGGAAGAGGCGTCATGAGTGATTGGCCCGTTACTTCCGCAAGACCTAAAATGCGGAGTACAGTATTATCTCGTTAAGTCGATACACGATTAGTCGATTTTCTAGATAACTCGATAACTTTCTTTAGATCCTTCCATTCTGTTCCCACAATCACGATGAGGAACCCAAATCGTGTTTTCAGCCACACCCATGCTAAGCCCTAACCCTCTTTCGTAATGAACCTCACGTGATGCCCCACGCTCCCGTCGACTAATAGTTGAGCCTCAATATCAAAATCCGAAGGTGAATTAAAGCTGTAGCCCGTACGCTTCAATGCCAAATAGCGCACGTCGCGTTGCGGCCGAAGCTGTTGTAGAAGTACCTTACCAGCGCACAGGCCAAATCCAGTACGGTGGCCATACCGTATTGCTACCGTACTGGCCGGCGCGACTGTCGCACTGGAGCGACGGTACAATCGCCGCTCTAATACCGACGGTGTATTGCACCGCCCGTGAGCGGCGACCGTGCCCTTGATCTGGGCAGTATCGCCGGCGCGACAGATTTTGGAGGTCATACTGTAGTTAGAGTATTACTGTAATCGCGAAGGATCACCGTCGCCGGCCATAAGCTGTAGATATCTCGCCACAGTATGGCGACGGCAATGCTGCCGTAATTCTGTGTGGACGCCGTTATGGTGGCCAGATCCGTATCCATACGGTATTCTCGGTGAAGCCGTGGCGGGCAAGATCATGGTGGTCATCAAGAAACGCAGAAATCCAAACATAATACCATATATTTCTAATCTGCCTACTCTATCCAGCCCGGATCCACAGCCTGCGACTGTTCCAAAGTCGCACCAACCACCACATAGCCCCTCCAGATGTCCACTCCCTCCCTGTGCCCGGCACTCCAGACCTTGACCCCACCCCGAATCCAATGCCAGCTCCCTTATCCCACCCCCCCCAGTGTATGTGTTGATGGCTGAAAGTTGCGTATCCAGCCAAGTCCGCGGCCCAAGGCTGCCCTGTCAAGTGGGTGTTTGTTGGGGGGGGGTAATATCCAAGATGTTGCTGAGCGATTGTGTATGGTTTGTGTTGATGGTCTTCAGTGAGGGTGTGGTTGTTGGTCGGAGACAGAAGAGTGTCGAGAGCTGGATATATCCACATTGGTTTGGCACTGTTCTGGATGGATCCAGATATCTGTTAGTGGTTTGTGATAAGGGGTTGTTAGGTGACCGCAGACTTACCTGGTGGATCTGTGCCTGA